TTGCACCTAGCCCGGTGAAATTTGCACAACTTATAGATCAAGGATGCATGACGTGCCTTTGAGGGGTCTCAGCTCGATCGGATTGATAGGGAGCGCGTGGCGCGTGCCCAAGAAGTGCAAAATCGCGTCATAGACTTTACATGTATAAATCGGCGTGCGAATTCGGGCGAAAACGGCCAAATTTGCCCGACACGGGTCCGGTCTCGGTGCCATATCTTGGTGACCAGGGGTTCGACCGGCACCGGGAAAACAGCATCGTGTAGATAATTGAATGGGCAGTTGAATGGTGTGCGATACAGAGGATAGCACACGCCACGTGCACCGGGGAGGGCACTTTTATTTGGAAAATTGACGTTTTGGACGGATTTCGGAATCTATATTATTTTCAGGTGACCGTCAGATGGAGCGAGTTGAAACAACGCCTATTGGCAAGAGAAATGTACCGCCTCTCATGGAAAAATTGTGAAAAGCTGATTGATCCAAATCAAGGTGGTACAAATCACGGGAGAAAATGGTGTTTGTCAATTTTGTGCCACTTTATTAATCACACGGGTTTTGCTCCATGATCTGATATCTCTGGCAATTGAAAATGGCACCGTTGGAAAGAGCATTCCATTCTGTCCAATACTCACTCTTCATTTTTGCATGACGGGCACCAGTATTCTTAAAAATGTAAATGTTCCAAACCATTACATTGCCATTTTTAGCGAAATTCATCGATGGCCCTCAAAAGACTTCACGCCAGTTTTCGAATCATTCTTAAGTAGAACGCATGATAATACGACACGGGCACCTCGATTCGATGGATCTTTTTTGTTTCACTACAAAATGTTTGGCCGTCAAAAAGCAATCGAACGAAATGGATACCAACCAAATCGACACAGACCAACCCAATACCCACGGGTCAAAAATAACCCTTCTTCGCGTTGCGGAGCACGCGGGTAACCCTAGTGACTCTCTAACTGTGGTACTCAGAGGTCAGCATTGTTTCACTCACGGTAACTATGTTTCACTTATAGCTCCTTTTAGCTCAATTGGACTCAACCTTAGTACATACGAAACTAGTTTCAACAAATGTGTAGTGGCGCTGAATAGGTACTCGTAGTTGGAGGCAGGGGTGTAATCTTATATCTCTTTGTGGGAGCAGATGCACCCATAATCCTTAATTATGCCCCCACATTGGTAAAAATGCACCCACAAGTCTTTTACAAGCGTCCTTTCGAGAGCACGATGCCCTTCGCATGCTCTAACGGCGTGCTCCTGACCGTCTCGCGTTCATGGATAATATAGCGTTTTTAATCACTCGGCGCCCTTCTGGGAGAATGGCGCCCTTTTGACAGCATTGCGCCATTCCCATGGTCTAACAGCGCCCTCCTGACCGTCTCGCGCCCTCATGTCTCTGTCCACCGTGCATTCCTCGACTGTTCGGCGCCCTTCTGGCCTCTCAGTGCCCCTGGACCATATAACGTTTTTAATCACTCGGCGCCATTCTTGGAGAATGATAACATTTCCATGGTCTCACGGCGCCCTCGAAACCGTCTGCCGCCCCTCTACATTTTTTTCGACGCCCTTCCGGTCACTTTACATTTTTAACCGTGTATTTGCTTAGTCAGACATGTCACTTGAAGCGCCCTTCGGCTAGCAATGTTATCAAATTCGGCTCCCACATAAAGAATACCTATCCAGTGCGCCCCAAAGCGGCCTGTCGCCCCTACAGCTGGGCATCCACAATCATTTTAGGAAAATTACACCCCTAGTTGGAGGTGCTATCAGTGCTGACTATATGTCAACGGTTCCAGCCAGAGGCAGCGGGCAGTAAGAACTGACAGCAGCGACATTCCAGGCGGGATGAGGTCGGTGAACGGGGCGTGGGAGACGCGGCTGAGAAGAGCTGTCATGGCCGTGGGTTTTGGCGAGCAGCCAGCAAAAGCCACCCGGTCTTTTGGTTCTGGGTCTGGCTTCATTAACCCGCGCCCCACTGGGGTCTGCGTATAACACGCCCTACGGGGGGGGGGGGGGCTATTCATAGCCCCCCTCCTAACTCCGAAACTACTGGGCCGATCGTCAAAATTCAAACGGCGTCTGGTAGCCCCGGAAAAACTGTCGAGCGAAACCTAATTTCATTGACCTCGAGGTCACCAATGACGTCACAGGTCAGGTCAAAGTAAAAATTATTAGCATTTTGGCTTCTTCACGTTTTGGGCTCTGGTCGCCGTCTTACAAGTCAAATCAGGCTCATTTTTGGTTCACACACTCGTGAACAGATGCTCTAGATACTCTGAGGGTACCAAACTTGTACTTTGATTTTCAGGTCAAGGTCAGGTCATCACAGGTCACGAAAATATTATATCATCCGTCGGTCACGTGACACATGTTTTATGGTCCATTTAGGCCAAACATTTCGAATCTGATGTCGTCTGTGTCATTTGAGGTCATTTTGAGTCAAATTTAGCTTAGGTTAGGTCACTTTCAGGTCAAAAAAGGTCAAATTTTGAAGTTAAAATTTTTCAACAAAAAAGGTGTCTTTTGGATGCAGTTTGAGCTCAGGAACACGATGGTGCTATTTATATTGGCGTACGATGTCAAATTCGTGCTGAAAAATTGATTTGAAAAATTAATAATTGTTAATTTTTTGCAATAATACGTATAACTTGGCCATTTTTGAAGATATTTAGCTAAAACTTGCTAGAGTTAGTCATAATAATACGTTCTATCACATATATTCCGGTTTTTTTGAAAAATCAAAACTTGTCTGAAAAAAAAAATGCAAAAATATAAATTTTGAATTTTATTATATAAAATTTTCGAAATTTTTAAAATTGTGAAAATCCGAAAATTGATAGCGCAGTCTATTCTGAGTCCTCTCATGCAAAGAAATTGGATCTAGCTTAAAAACTGAGCTCTTGGGAGCGATTGCCGTGGTTCAATGTTTTGCGTCGAAATCGGCCGAACATGACGTCACTCTGACGTCATTTCCGGCCGATCTATGGTGGGTACGAAATTCAAGTTTTGACACAAGGTGTCAAATTGATGCAGCCGAAGGTACTGAAAGTTTGGCGTCGATACGTCAAGCGGTTTGGAAGTTATTGCAGAAAAACGGGAGGGGGGCTATAAATAGCCCCCCAGTGGGGCGCGGGTTAAACTAACAATGCATTGCATAGGTTCATACCAATGTACTTACATACAAACAAAACTTTATAATCCCTACACACCTACATCGCGTCGGCCGAAATAAGATTGTCATACCTATTGTACCTTTAAGATTGCTCTTCCTATAAGGGTCTTGGCTTTTCATTTAACTGAACGCATGAAACACTAAAGAAGGATCTATAATACATATAATGTTGACATAATTTGCTTCCAATCATGATTCGTATCACCTTTATCTTTACTGAGATTTAGCATTTCACCGTGCATTACCATTCACTTAGCTTGCTTGTTGCGATGAACATTTTTAGGGGATCTGAAGAAAGGCTGCATGAAGGTAAAATTGATTTTAACTTAATTAACCTGTGAACGTGCGATACGAAATTTTTACCTTGCGCTTACAGTGTTGTGAATGACGAATGAGTGATTGCACTATTTAGTTCATTGAAATTACCGATATAAGTTCATATTTCAAATGCACTGCTAACAGTCTACGAATTTTTGCAAGCCAAAATAGTGACACTATGTTTGGAGCCGTTTGAACGTTTATGTGGTTTTTTGTGTGGGGCATTTATGAGCCTCTAAATAATAATGGAATCACAAATCTATAACCAATGAAATAATGAATGGAATATGATTAGGACAACTATAAAGTGTAAATCAATATAGATAAATGATTCAGGAAATATTTGACACATGATCTGTAATAAAGACGCCAGTCTCATGAATTCCATACTTTACATAGACGAAATGGACAATATGCAAGGGCCTTGGGAAGTTTGCAAGGCACAAACTTTCACAAGTAAAAGCTCGCCAAATGGAGAAAATATGTGAATATGTGAGAACGCGAAACAAAACGCAACAAGTTCGTGCAAAGACGCAATAGGTTCGGTCTCAATTCGCTAAGCACCCACTATCCGTCAGCCTGGGAGCTCTCCCATAGTCCCGTTAGCTGGGTTCCTCTCTGATGCTGCGTTGAAGTCTCCCCGGCCGACGGAGGTGAGCGGATGGGGAGGGGGGACGACAGTGGCAGTTGGCGGGCGATCGGCGACATCCTGCCCGCCCTGCAGACTGCTCCTCTCGTGGTGAGGACGTGGCGACAGCTCCGCGGCGGTGGGTGGCCGTCACGCCCCCAAAATACCCACCCGTCGGTCGTTAGTCACTGCTGCGGCGACAAAACGTCCCGCCGACCGGCGCGGGAGGGTCGGGCGCCGCGGCCACGCGCGACGCAGTGTATCGCCCGCGGAGGGAGTCGGAGGGGAGTGCGGAGGGGGCGTGCCGCGAGCCGCCGGCAGGAAGGGTGTCGCAGCGCCCCACCCTTCCCTAGGGGACAGGCAACGTGGGAAACAATGCCTGTTTTGATCATGCCGCAACAAAACAGTGATCAGCCTTCCGCTGTGGCACCGGTCCGATGTCAAGAGCTGGAGAGAGACTGACGCCACCCAGCCGGTCTGAGCTGCCGCGTGGTCCGAGACGGGCACTGCGGGCGGTCACACCGCCAGACGGCACGGACGGCTTACCGGCGGAAAACCGCGCCAAGACGCCGACGTCGGGCACTGACCCTTCCTAGTTTCTTATCAAAACGCACCGGCCGAGCGGCGGCGCACCCGTAAACAACCTGTGTTGGCTGCGGGGCCCCTGACCCCGGCGCTATCGATTCGGGCGTCGGTGGGCCTGTTTACTCCGGCCCGGGGGCGGCGCTCCGCCGGCCGGGCGTGGGACCGTGGGTAAAAAGCTAAAAGTAACTGAAGCGAAGAGAATGCCGCGGCCGGCGCGCTGATTGGCCGAAGGGGTGGAGCGGGCCGGCCCGGCCGCCGGGAGAGGGTTGCCCGGCCGGTGGGGCCGCGCCGGCCGGCAGTGGGGCCGAACGGGGTGACGGAGACGGGACGGCCCAGCAGCGCGCACCGACGCGCCGGAGACCAAGGCGACACAGGTGAGATATAGCACGGAACAGTGATGGCATGTTAGTGCTTATTTATTCTAATACAGTATTCTATTACAATTTATGGCATTTGCTCATTAGTTATAGAGCAACAAAAATGAGAAGCATTATATAAAAAGGCACTGTTTACTTACATAATATTTTTTTTTCTCGATGCAATGGATGCTACATACTGCATACCTAGGTTCTTAAAATTAACAAAAAGAATACAATAATGCCACTGGCTAAAATAATTACACATTCGTGAGCAGTGCCACTAACACAAAAATATCATTTATTTCTCCAGCTTTTATTGAGAGACCCGTTTAAGTAAGTAAATGAGAGCAACGCACTTATGTTGTCCTCGTACGCCTCAGTAAATAATCATTGTGTATGTCCATTTCAGAGGTTGTGCACGATGGCGCTGACGCTGCAGTCGGCGCTGGCCGGCGGCCGGTACTCGGCGCTGCACGGCCGCACCTTCCGGGAGCTCGCCGCCGGCGGACATGGCTCCTTCTCGGCGCTCTCGGCCGCCGACCAGGAGGCGCCCATGGACCTGAGTCGCTCGGCCGCGCGCCGGTCGCCCTCGCCTGATGTCAGCATCACCACGGGTCACAACGCGCTGCTGGACCGGGCGATGGGGCCGCCGCCGGAGCCGGAGCCGCTGGACGAGACGCCGCACGACCTGCGCCTGGTGCGACCCTCGCACAGTATCATCCCGTTTCACAAGCTGCGCAAACACGCCCAGAAGGGATCGCGGGCGCGCCTCAAACGGCAGCGTCTGGAGGAGACGGTCAGCCTGCTGCGGGACCGCGAGGCGGCCGACGAGAAGCCGCCGCCGAGCCGAGCTGACGGCGAGGCCGCCGGTGGGGACGAGGACGGCGAGCCGGCGCCGCTGCCGCCGCCGACGCTGCCGCCGCCGCCGCAGCTGATGCAGCAGATGCTGATGATGCAGCAGCAGCAGCAGACCGACCCTGTGGCGTACCCTTCGCTGCTGTACCTGCAGTACTGCGCCATGATGCAGAGCCTGCAGCTGCAGCAGGCGCTGCGGCACCAGCACGCGGGTAAACTGTCGCCATCGGCGGCGGCGTGCCCGCCCCCGCGGCGGCCCGGCTCCGTCAGCCCGGCCTCGAGTTCGGCCGGTACGCCGCCGGCCACGCCCGGCACGCCCGGTACGTCAAGCTCAGCGGACGAGCCGCCGCAGCGGCGGCGGGCGCCGCGCACGCTGACCGGAAAACACGTGCGCCAGGGCCAGGGCGCCAGTCCGGAGACACTGCGCACACTGCGCCGAGTGCTGCTGGAGAAGGCGCGTCTCAGGGACCTCGGTCTGCTACCGCCGCCCAAACCGAAACCCAAGGGCCGGCGCAGAAAGTAACCCAGTATACAACCTACTGCCTCAATTGAACTCAGTGTCTGACGTCTGTTGCATGTTCGTGGTAAGCCTCGCCGCAGCGCTGAGCCAGCCAGCCAGCCAGCCAGCCGAGCCAGAGCATCAATACGTACACAGGGAGGGGAGGGACGATACGGGTCGCCATCGGGCGCCGCCGACAATTGTTTGCACGCCGGTGTTCACGTATACGGGTACTAAGTGACTGTGCAGCTATGATGTTTCACAAATGTGTTTAGGAGTGCTGCTGAGACATTGCGATATACTTCCGTGTCGCTGTGGCTTAGCTTAAACTCCCGTTGCGGATCTCGTTGGGACTTATTGTCACGAAATGTTATTGTCCAATGTTGACCCGACCTGTCATGGTTGAACCGATTGTTACCAGATAGTGATTTGGAACTTACATTCCATGACAGAGGAGTCACGACTTTGTGTTGCCCCTGTTGTAATGTATGATAACGCGGCATTTGTCACGTTTCGCCCGCCTCAGGGACAATTATCCATGATTTAGTGTTCCTGTGAGCTGTTTTGCGAATGTCTTGGTGTGATTTTTATACATACTTTTGTGTGAACTGTACTAATGGGTAGAGATGACTTTATTCGGTGATACTGTTAAGTGTAGTTTACGCGCTCCATAATTGATGGTGCATGTTTACGTTATGGAACAATACAAGAGCTCCGTCCTTTATCTAGGTACTGCTCACGCGTACGATTACTGTTGCAGCCATGTTGCAGCTTCTTATGGCTTTATTCGGGAAGCGGTTTATTTAGAATCGATACCTATATGGAAAAATCGATTACTGTCGGGGCTTAAATAATATTCACCCTTCGTTGACTATCCACTTCTTGAAGTTACGTTTAACAAATACGAAAACCACACATTCGATTCTGCAACGCGAATCCGACAGTCGATGCAACTTCTTCACGTCAATAACAGGTAGAACAATTCAGACTTCGCAGGCACACGCAGAGGTAACATTCGTTGACCAGTGCCAAAAGTTTCGGCTTGAGATTGCTCCGATGAGGCCCCGAACCGGAACGTCAGTCCTCATGGTGGGCAAATGGAATATGCCGGTCACCCGATCCGATATCGATAAGCCGTTGCCAGTCCAATGTCCGGCGAACTAAGACTATGATTAGACGCTCAAGCATTGGCGAGCGTAATTATAGATAATAGGTGCTGTTCATCTTGAATGTTTGCCATTTTTCTCTTCCTTTCTTATGTCATGTGATGTCATGGTACCAATTTAGCTATAAACGGGAATATGTCATTAGCCGAAACTGGCTCGGCATCACATCCCCGGTCCCCCGGCCCCATAATAGCCGTAGTTCAGAAGAGGTCAAACCACGTCGAGTCGACGTCATTCTTACCTTACCACTACGTGCATTGTTGCATCGCTTGAAGTTGCATCAACTGTAACGCGTCTGTGACGAGAACCGAGGCCGAGTCGCCGACTACCGAAGCGCGAGCACCAAGTATTGTATTCTTGTTCATAGATGGCATTAGTTGAGTACGCCTGATATTAGACTGTGCCGCAGCTCTGGTGTAGGCAGGTCAAGCTAGTCTTCGCATTCTTGTTTAGCTGGTGTGAGCAGATTTTGTTATATTTATTTCGTTCTATGAAGTTATAGTACCGTGAGCTTCGTTTGTAACAGTATGTTTCACATCCTAAGCTACCTTCCAAAAGAATACATATTTTTCATCAAGATGATAGACAGGCAAATTTTAAATTACTAACAGCATTTTAATCAGACGTAGACATAAAATACGCAAGAGTTTCACAAACGATGACCGAGCTTACTGTTCGATATTTTTTGCTGTTACTGCTTACTTCTGTGTTGTTATAGCAACGACTACAAAGAGCCAATGAAAATCCTGTATAAGATAAAGACAAGCAGCTAGCCTGGGCTAATTCTTAAAATTGAACGGGAAAGGCTCATGATGAAATTTGCTTGTTGTTGAGTTGGTAGATGCATGACGGCTGCGTTGGAATGATATGCTAATTTCTGTTATTTTCCAAGCAAATCAAAATAGGAGCATTGGCAGCTGTTAACAAACCAATCCAAGCTTAAGAAAATGAGTATGCAGGTGGGTTTTAAACAAATGGTTGCATGAGTATGAGGAAGATTTATATCTTTTTTATTTTTCAATACAAGTTTACTTGAAGGTAAAAAGGTGCCCTATTTGCAAATATGTAATTAAGTGGGATGTATTTGATGGATAAAATAGATAAGACGACCTCATTTGACCCATTATTCCCAGGCTCCACTACACGATTTTCTGTGTGATATTGAGATTACGCAAGAATGTCAATGTAATGCCCTTGGTGATGCTAAATAATGTTTGTCTAGTGCAAATAGATGCGCTGAGCCACACTGCGTAAATCACATTATTGAATGTCATTCAATATTGCTCACACATTATCACATTATCTAAAAAAAAGTTCAGAATTCTGAACTTTTTTGTAGACGCTACATTGCAATACCACCCGACTGGAAAAAATGCCTCCACTACGCTGAAGTTCTCGGCGGAGGTGATGCGCCGAAATTTCGACGCAAGGGTTTATGCGCCGAAATTATTTTACCAAGCCATGCTTCATGCGCCGAAAATTTTCAAGGCTTACTGATGGTTGCAGGCTGTAGCCACGCACTTTTCGTCGAGGGGGGCTGGCGTGTGTGTGTGGCTGTCTTCCAGTGGCTACTGTACAAGTACAGACGGTTGTTGGCACGGTCGACGGGATCGGGCAGACAATAGACATCAGCAGGCCATGCGGGACCGAGCACCAGCGTTCGCTATCACAAAATCTCCTGACTCACAAACTCACTGGCATGTTCCATAACGTAACCTTTATTTTGTTGCCCGGCTCTGATCAGCAGTAGTGCCCAGCCGGTGACTGACGCCTGACGGGGCCTTCAACAGGCGTGGTGCAAGCACGGCCGATGGGATCGGGCAGATACCAGGCCACGCGGGACCGATTGCCAGCGTCCGCTCGCAAACCACACGCCGAAAATACAGAAATCACAACGGTCAATACGCACACGATAGCATACGTTATCTGAACTAGGGAATCCGACAATCCATAACCTCACTCTCGATCGGTGAACTGTTCCCGCCGTGGGAGAGTCACAATCAGGTTCACTGAACATGACTTAAATACCCTGAGACGAACACGAGACAAGATAAGTGATATTTAAGATGTTTAACTCCCGAAGACATTTAATCCTCGCCAGCCGAGGGGGGGTTGGTGCCACCCCCCTGACGGTTTTTTTCGCGATTTACGCCGAAGTACGCCGAAAATTTCGGCGCAAGCCGTCGATTTACGCCGAAGTACGCCGAAAATTTTCGGCGCAAACGCCCAACTACGCTCGAGTTCTCGACGAAAGCGTGCATTTTTTTCCAGTCGGGCAATACCACAATACATAAAAATATTCAGTAGTTTTTTTTTGTGTTCTATTTTAAGAGGGTTCAGTTCTTTTTACTGGACCACCAGGTTTTCAAATAAGTTTGTAACAGCTCATACCTGTAGTTGCTAAAGTTATTTTTTAGCACATTCACACTACTCACAATGCAGATGCATATGCAAATGAATCTTTGTATCCAGAAACTCATGCCTTGTGATTATGTGATTATGATACTGATTGTGGTGGACAGAGGGAAGAGAAGGCACTGGATGCTGCTCTGGATGCCTTCTCACAGCGGCTCAACGATCTGAAGCAGTCCATTGGGCAAACACTGCAGAAACTGGAGGCAGGTCATGAGCACATGAGCTGGCCATCTCTGCTGGACAGCTTTGCACTACTTTCTGGTCAGGTGAGCAGTCATCACTAGTCAACGTGCAGGCTTGCAGGCTAGGTAGCTGGCTCTAACCAACTGATGACTTGTGCAAGGTAACATGTGTCATTGTCAATGTATAGAGAAGTAAATGTGCTGAGCCAATGTGATTGCACCTTGATGGAAAACAACTGGATTGCATGACATTCCAAAACAAATATGTTACATAATTTATCAACCAAAGGATCAATATAGGGGGTATTTGTTTTATTCTTCAATACTCATGCCAAAAACAAGTGTCTGACTAGAATGCCCCTAAATATGGATGATTATTAGCATGAAGAGTTCCTATGCCAGAATAGTTGAGTGCATTCAGTTTTCTTTAATTAGTCACTATCTAACAACTACACACTCAGCTCACAACCCTCACTCATCACCAGCTGAACAACCTGCTGCGCGTGCTGAAGAACGAGAAGACGCCGCTGCTGCGGAACCGCGTGACGCTGCCGCTGCTGCTGTCGCCCGAGCGTGACGAGCAGCTGGTGCGGCTCACCGAGGGCCGCGTGCCGGCCTTCGCGCACGACCTGGTGCCGCACTACCTGCGCACCAAGCATGACCCCATGGTCGAGGAGCGGCTCCAGATGGTCGAGAGCAAGGCCGCCTCGATCAGCGCCGACGCCGCCCAGGTGAGCTCGCCAGTTCCGAGTTCGTTCACCTTAGGCTTCCGGCACCCTGTCTCAGTATGTGATCGGTCTTACTGCCGGAGTGCCAGAGTAATGCCGGTGTTACGTTGTTTGTCGGGGATGGGGAGGGAGTGAAGGGGGGGGGGAGGGGTCAGTGCTGGGAATAGTTTGTGAAATGGAGACGTGTTTAATGCTTCTTCGTGAAATACATAGTAGCTGTGTGAGGACATGTTTCGAAATGCTATCGATATGTCCACATCTCGTAAGATGCACGTAATATCTTGCTGGTGTTTGGCAGAAACAAGTGACGGCGATGAACAAGGTAGTGAACAACCTGTTGGACACGATCCAGCAGTCCCGCGAGGACTGGGAGAGCGAGTCGGCACGCGCGCAGCTGAGCCAGACCTCCTCGGTGGCAGACACGCAGCAGTTGATCGCCGCCATCGGCACCGGTCAGTGGGCGGGCTCGCTCCGGGTATGGTGCCGTCATACTACCAGCTGCTGACTGCCCGCAAATGAAGGGCTCGCCGCACCCCGTGCTGCCCTCTGTCCTCATACAGGGACCGTTAACAGCCACTGGACCTGGTGTCCTCTGTCGACCGACCCTGACCGTCCCGTCGTTTGGTCTCCGAATGTTGTTGCTGCACTCTGACGCCTCTTATCGTTTTTTCCCCTTAAAGCTGCTTCATTCACCGACCTAAACCATCATGCTGTCCAGTGTTCAGTGGCTAGTTTGAGGTATTCAAATCAATTCATGTCCAAGACACTGCTAGTGCTCATTTCCGCGCCGTTGCCCGGCATCACTGGCTTGTAAGCTATAACCGCGTGGTTTCTACTCTGCCAATAGGAAAGGGTCTGAAGAGCGGCCCGTCCGCCCGGCAGGCTCCAGCCCCTATGCCCGCGCCAGCTCCTGTTCAGAGTAAGTGGTTGCCAGACTCTTGGCCAGACCCCTCCCCAAATGACAAACGTGTTACGTAGCTAGTACTTTGTTGTGTGCGGGATCGGCAGTTTTAGGTGGTCATGTTTTTGGCGTTTTTCTGCTGCGGTCTGTGTGTCGTGTGTTTTATGTATCGTCTATTGCTTTTTTACAGTGAAGGGCTAGCGCAAATTTTGCCCATGCGTTTCGGTACATCGGCTCATATCGCCGCATGCTTTGCAATGTGTAATTGGCTGAAGAGTGATTAATTATCGATCAATGGTATATACACCTTAGGCTTAAACCGTCGAATATCAACAACTCAGAACGTGCGATTCGCTGACCGCTCAACGTCTCTACGTGATAATGCATCGAATCACTGACGAGTGTCCGTTGCGTTTCAGTGCCGCAAGTGAACAAAGCTCCGAGCTCCATCAAAACTAACATCAAGGCCAACATACAGACGCACCCGTACAAATAGACAGCTGGAGATAACCGTGTCACGGCTCGGACTAGGTCCCGTAGTCGGTGACTGAGCTGACCTGACTAGCTGATCCGGTCCACTTTGGGCAGTTCCATGGTGCAAAGCTCTGTGAGTGGAGCCGTGCGGACGGTGTTCCGGATAAGGAACCCATTTTTCGCGTTTCCTTCACTCGTGTGTACAGCCTGGTCGGCAGACGGCAGTCTCAGTCGTATTTCAACTGAAGGTCAGGACATGTCGGCATGGACCTTGTACGAGGGGGTATCGAAAAGTTCTGATCATCACCATGAATTAGATGTGATAGAAATTTGATTTTTTTACATGATGTTCATTACTCCTTTACAAGTCACCACACACGACCGCAAACTTATTGCATCGTTTCTTGAGATGCCTCAGGCGGTCATTGTAGGACCTTCGCCTTGTCCCGTAAATCACTGCTCCACCTCATCAATGACGTCATTTCTGGCCTTTAATCACCGGCCATACTGTGGATTCTTCATCTCCTGTAACAATCAAGAGTCAGTTAATACCCAGTCAGGTGAATTTCTTAGATGCGGTAGGATTTAATGTCCACATCATGTTGATTCTTAAATCGCAGCTCAGGACGAATGGGCGGGGGCGCTGTCGGTGCGGATAAAACATCTTTCTTGGGCTTTTTTGCGGCGATTCTGCTTGAGGCCATCTCGCAACTTCTTCAAAAGTGTGCAGTAGTGCTTGCTTATCATTATCCGACCATCATCAAGACAGTCGGTAATGACTATCCTACGCCAGATCCAGAACACTGATAGCATTGACTTTCCATATCGGCTTCTGCATCTTCGCCTTTTATGAAGAACAGATGTGCCGTGCTTAAACTTCTTGATCATCTTTTTGTCTCTGGATCATACACATAGACCCAGCATTCGTTACAAGTCATTAAATGATCGAAGATGTCTTCAATTTCCTAAAAAAACCTAGTTTTCATTTCGAAAGGCCAAGACGCATTTTTCTCTTGAACAAAGTAGATACACGAACTTCTAAGCGGGCTGACTCCTTTATCGTCTGTCGTTCTTCGCCGATAATATTTTCAGGCGCTGCCAGCATTGAGACCTTTCTGTTGCACAATCATCTGAAAGGTCACACGACGATCTGTAAGGATGAGGTCCTCCACTTCCTTCACAGTCACCACCTTGTCAGTCACTGGTAGTCACTCACTTCTTGACTCCCCTGCAAGGGTAATGCAACCAAGTTGAAAATTATTTCTTCATTTTCGGTAAGTACATTAGATGGGCTTCCCCAGCTATTAACTAATTTCACTTTCTTGATGTATTTTCTCAGTGTGATACCGTTTCAAATGCATTAGTTGGATGACGGTTCGGTCCTCAATGGGCCCAATACTCATCTTTTTTACTTCTAAGTCTCTCCTACATAAGATAAAACCACTTCTCAGGATTCTCTTTGCGGGAACATTGTTCTTAAGAACCAAATATAATACCAACCAAAAATCATCAAAATCGGTCTATATCTTCTATGTGATGATCAGAACTTTTCGATACCCCCTCGTAATTAACCAACCGCCACGCATTTTGAAGTGAACACTGTCTGGTGGTAAACTAAGGTCTACTGTGCATTTGTTTCAATGTAGTATATTCAGTAAATGCTGAGTGGGAATTGGCTAGATGCCTGCTCATTTCTCTTGTCCGTTCAGCTAAGCTGGCACAAGTATGTTTTTTTTCATTCGTTGATTAAAGGGACCCTCCCACCTTCAAAAAAGTTTATGAATTGGCATGAAAGTGATGTCGCTCGGTTCAGAAAGAGCGAAAACGAATATCTACCAAATTTCACCGAAATATATTCACCGGTTTTCCAGATATTAGACATTTACTTTTGTTTCCTTTTTGGGATCTCCGCTGTTCCTAGCGACTTTATTTGGAAGCAATAGTTTGGCAGCTGAAAGTGCGGCACTTGTTGCGCGCAAAACGGCATATACCACCGCGTGCTACAAAACGTTTTAGTCAAACATTTAAAAATCGTTAGATATCTGCGCTGACGTCACACATTCAGAGGGGTATTCCTATGCATTAGCCCCTCTGAATCAAAATGCTGCAATTTTGAAATTCAATATTTCCGATTTAAGGCATTTCTCGATGTTGTGAGTGCCGAAACCGGTAATTGTGAGCCAGGGACCCCATTTTGGCTATCTCAACTCAAATCTAATGTTAAGGTGGGAGGGTCCCTTTAATATCTCGTATCTTGCGACAATTCACTACCATCCAGCTGTCCCATGACCGGATTCATCGGCTATCTGACGTAATTTTTTATGCATCGTCATCTCCTTAGGTACTAGCGATGACTTTCTCAGAGAACCTCTCGCGGCTCGTAGTAGCGTTATATTGCTCTCCATTCGGAAGTGTTGGGCGCCGTGTTTAGGCTCGTATAAACTAGCGTGGCGAGCTGATGCCGATGATGTCAAGCGTCGAGTGAATACCTATGGTTGAGGATTGATGAATAAATAAATGGGCTCCATCGTCTCCTTTGTAATGAATTGACTGGTTTTGGTTGGATTATAAATGTTTCGGTATTATTTATCCCTGTTAAGCCGGAATCGACAAGACTAGGGACGGAGTCATTGCGCACATTGCATTATTGCTATGACCGCAAACGGAGCAGGATTACTTTCGAACGAAGGACCCGACAAGATTCCTTTACTACGGACCCGAAATCCTTTATTTTCCCTTCGTATGGTGCCTTGTTTACATATGGAAGCTTCAGCTTCGCGCTGCTTTCGTGGCGCTTGATTTCCGGCGGCGCGGTAAATTGAGTAGGCAGGGTGAAAACTTATTTTATGCGTGTTTTGAATTTTTCTCGGCAATCAGCCTAAATTTATTGACATTTTTGAATGCAAGTGATTATATTCGGAAAGTTATGTGCCTTCGATATCAGTTCTGAGGCTTAATTGCACCAGCATTAGTTGTGATTTGTGTGTCTCTTCATGACTCGGCTTACTTAAATTCATGCAGAATAACCACAGTTACAATTTACTGAATGCCTTTGAAGTGTAAAAAGTAAATAGATAGTATTTTTCATGATTTGCTGACATTAATATGGCAAACACTAGTTCAGACAAAATGTATCGTTGATATTTTTGTTTGGTGATCATTCGCCAACCTTTCCAATTCAAATTCAGTTGGGGACCCTGTTTTTCATTTGTCACAAATTAAGTGATTTAGTGAAGCAGGTATGATCGAACCCTAATTGCTCCAGTAAATTTTCTGCTTTGAAGGCTTGTGAAACACTGAATAGATATGCATTTACAATATGGGTGAATGTGAACTTATGGCTTCTATTAAATTGAAAGTATCCAGCGGTCAGTACACTTCATTTATCAGGCGTGAGCCCTATTTATTTTGTAATAAAAGAAACATATCATTTGATGTTTACCACATACTTGAAATGAATGTTGATGAGCTCAGAGTTCAGAGTTCTGGGTGATATTGGTGATATTTTTTTTTAGATTCACTTCACATTTCACAAGAACTTAATGTCCACTCTTTTTTGTGACTGGTGGCTGGGGAGATTGTAAACCTGCAGTAAAAGGTGCGTATCAGTGGATAACACTGTTCAAAACACCCTCACTCAGTACTTTTAGGCTCCAACCTGAAGTGGCTTTGTTTGTTTCTGGCTCCATCAACTACAGAAAGTCCTTCATGTTTCACCACCTTAGCTACAGGAGGAGCATATACTTGCCAACATGTAACAATGCCTATGCAAACACATGTTAATTTAGCAGAGCTCTCTTTTTTATAAATATTTGTTATTAATAGAAATATCCCCAACTTATATTGGTAAACATGGATGCTAAATGGGATTTGACATGATGACTTTGACACACTAAGCGAACTTGCAATTACATCTTACATTTGTTGATAACATTATCTCACCCTTCTTTCTCAATGTTTCTGTTTTTCAGCAGTAAACCATGGGCTCAGTGAAGAAGAAGGCCTCCAAGGCATGCTCGGAGTCGGACTCGGACGATCGCCGCGGGCGGGCTCGATCGGGCAGCAGCAGCCGCTCCCAGGGCAGGCCACCGCATAAGACCAAATGCAAACGGCGGAAGAGCGGGCGCAGCAGCAGCAGCAGTAGCAGCTCGTCGGAGCGCCGCCCCGCCATCAAAAAGTTATCCCTCCCGCCGATCAAACGGAAACGGCGAGAGCGCAGCAGCAGTAGCAGCAGTAGCAGAAGTAGCAGTAGCAGCAGCAGTAGCAGCAGCAGTACTAGCGAGGAAGAGCGGAGACGGAAGGCGGAAAAGAAGCGTGCAAAGAAGGAGAAGAAGCGTCGGAAGAAGGCGAAGAAGAAGCTGAAGAAGCAGCTGAAGCGGGAGGCTCGGGCGGCCCAGTCGGCCGCGGCGGGCGCCCGGTCCGACGGGGAGGCCGAGATCGGGCCGCCGCTGCCGGACGCCGGCGTCGGCCAGGCCATGAAGCCCATGACCAAGGAGGAGTGGGACAAGCAGCGGAACGAGCTGCGCCGCGTCGTCGACCCGGAGACGGGCCGCAGCCGGTGGGTGCTCGCCGCTCGGCCGGCCGGCCACTCACGCCGCCGCAGGCCAATGAGGAACGTTTGCATCTCGGTGCCAGTTTACTGTGTTTCTGTCCAATTTTATTGTTAACTGTTTGACGGGCTTATTTTTACCCGTTTCGGCTTTAAGTCGGTTTCTGATTGCCATCTAATGCTTAACCAGTGCGTTATAATTTCAATTCAAGCTTACTGGTTAATCATGCATGACAAGATAAACGTGACCTGGCACCTCTTAACGACCTTATTGAGTATTTTCATACATTTTTAATTCTTCCAGCCGTGGTGTATGTGTTATAAGTAAGCTAATGTGCGGGCTGTCTCTGATCGGTGACCAATCACGCTCTGATACATTTTGGCAGGCTGATCCGCGGACGGGGAGAGATCGTGGAGGAAGTCGTCAGCCAGCGGCGCCACCAGCAAATCAACAAGCAGGCGACGCTGAACGACGGCGCCCAATTCCAGAAGGAGATCGCCCGGCGACTAGTCAATTAATCTCATCGCCGGCGCGGTGGGTAACTATTTATGGGACGCGGTGCTCGGTCGGTCAGTTGGTCCCAGATCCAGACCTGGCCGCCTGACTGGCCCCTAGCACCATTCTGCTTTGCTTGAAACTGCCGGTGTGGATTGTGGTGTTTTCTTTAGTGTGCTTAACTTATGAATAGTGAAAAGTTCGTCATTGTTTTGTCTCGTTCCCGAGGGGAAATGGTTTGGTAACTTTTCACCCAGTCTGTACTTATCTATCCTAATGTATTGAAATCTGATGATGGCTGTGGCACCAGAATTGCGAGATTCTGACCATTGTTGTGTTTGTTCTAAGGGTTGATTTTGATGTCTCTTCTGACACCTTGTAGGGTACTGGATGTTTGCATATTTCACAATCACACTTCTGCAAATAACGTAACCATGAGTTTCACGGCTGATTCCCGTGCATAATACTTCAGGACAGTTCAGTTACGACTGTGATGCATTGTAGGTATTTGAGTCTGAACGCGAGGGAACTGTAGACACGGACCCTGCTTGTTTTATAAGCAGGCTTTACGAGCATATTTGCACGCCGTTCTAGCTCCTGATGCCTTCTGCGCCATTTCGGTGGCTGGCATGTCGAACCCCGTCAGTTTCCATGATTCTGTCTATTACAATGACTATCTTCCAGTTGCATCCAGCGGAATCGTCTGCTTCAGTGATGCGATTGGTAGTCGAGGGACGATTCCGTTCAGTAGATGAGGTCTGTCGACTGTTGTAGCACGTATCTGTCGGGCTTGACTGGCGACCGGATCTGCTGTATTTATGTGTCAACCACAATAAATGACAGAGCAAGCCAGCAATACGTGCTATTCGCCTTTTGGGAAAACGGAATATTGGCTTGTCGTGTATCGAAGGATGGCATCATACAGCTTTTGCTACCACGCTGTTGCGTAGTTGATGCATGACACTGTCCCGGATCGATATTGTATAGATTAATATCACCGTAACTCGCCGACTACGGGCGCACTTGTCGAAATGTCGAAATAATGTGGATTGCTACGATTCACCTCAGTACATAGCTCGGAGCTCATCGCATGCGGGCATGTATGTACATACGTGAAGCTGGGTCTAAGCAGTTACGTTTTGTGATCTGATCAATCAATCTGGCAGTCTAAGCTTGTGCGACACCCTTGCAGCATCGCTGGAGTTTCAGCGTTCGTGTTACGCTCCACCGACACCTAAATGGGCGATTTTTATAAACAAGTTGGCGTTTCAAATATATATTCCAAAACGTGCCACGTTCTAATAACTGGCAAGAAGTTGCACTGTGGCCCGGATTACATTTAAAATGAACACTCCTGGTGACTGCAATTCATATCGCTACGCCGTAATGTGAGTCTGTAGCACACGTATGAGGGCACCGACCGGGCCAATTCACAGCTGCAGATACGGACGCACACACACGTCACTCTAGTCCCTACACTCGGCCGTGAACGGCGGCGCGACGGTCAATGGACCAGCCATCGCTGCCGCCGGTTCGCGACCTCACACGGTCATTGCATTCCGTCTGTTACAAACGTTAGACGCCAGCAACATGGATGACTGATCAACCCACTCGTTCTGACGGCACTGACTCGGTTCTTCCGAATGAAGTCTTCACGGCGCTACCGCCGCTGAGCAAAAAATATGTCAGTGGGGGGCGGCTAACTGAGACTGGCTAAATGGTATCACAATGTGGGCAGGCCACGGGCCGAGAGCCGCGGAGGTATTAGCCATACAGTCGCATTGACTTGTGTCTGAGGTCCAAACACTCCCAGGCTAGGAGCGCTTTGTTATCTGATGTAGGAACTGCCGACGGCCAGGGCGTTCACAGTTTACTTCGCTTGACTCACTGACTTGACTGCGCAACAACGCGACTATGTAGGATGACTGGAGAAACATTCGAAAACTCCTGACACGCGTACACGACAAACCACATCATACGACTGACTACAGCCAAGCGAGAACTCCTAAACTGATAACAAAACGCTCACGCACACTGTCAGGAGTTAGTACGCAATCGCAGCTACTCAGAAACACCAGTCACAGCTGGAAAAGATCAAAAGCCATTCATACTTCACATGCTTACGATTGCAGATACATACTTCAGATGCATCGCCCCATAACAAACAGACGTTGGTCATACATGATACACCTTCTGATTACATCTCACGGATAACCATCCAAGCCAAGCTCAGAGCTGCGATGATAATGGTCAAATCTCACATAGTGAGTTCGATAACATTGGTATATGCTGATACGGTACAATGGGTCTTGTTTTCTGATCGATCCGTATTGTGTGGGTAACAAGTCAGATCTTGTCGGTTGCTCAGACGCCGGGTCACACCGCACCCACGGGTTCTGCGGGTTCACTACGGCCACGAAGGGCCGTCGTGCTGCTCAGGCCGCTTCAGGATCCAACCCACCTCAGTTTCAGCTCTCTCAGGGCC